AATGCTGCTTAAGCTTTGTTAATGCACCAGTTTCTAACAGCTCCCCAAGTAGCATGTTCCAGGCACCTACCACCTTCTCTGTAAAAAATATTTCTTGCATAACTCTGTTAAATTTCCCCTCTCACGTTAAACTTATACCCTCTTGTATTTGACATTTCCACCCTGGGAAAAAGAGTCTGACTGTCCACCCTATCCATCCCTCTCATAATTCTCTATTTTCTATCAGTTCACCCCTGAGCCTCTGAAGCTTTAGAGAAGACAATCCAAGTTTGTCAACTTCTCTTTATAGCTAATACACTCCAATCCAGGCAACACCCTGGTAAACCTCTTTTGTACCCTCTCCAAAGCATCCATATCCTTCCTATAGTGTGGGCACCAGAACTGTACACAATACTCCAAATGTGACCTAAATAAAGTCTCAAACAGCTGCAACACGACTTGCCAACTTTTATACTCAATGCCCTGACCTATTAAAGGCAAGTATGCTTCATGTTTCTGTTACCATCTTATCCACTTGTGTTGCCACTTTCAGGAAATTATGGGCTTGGACCCCAAGATATCTCTGTATATCAATGCTCCTAAAGGTCCTGCCATTTACTGTATACTTTCCTCTTGCATTTGACGTCCCAAAATGCATCACCTGACACTCGTCTGGATTAAATTTCATATGCCATTTCTTCTCCCAATTTTCTAACAGATCTACATCCTGCTGTATCTTTGATAACCTTTCTCACTATCCACAATTCTACCAATTTTTGTGTCATCTGCAAACCCACTAATCAGACCACTTACATTTTCATCTAAGTCATTTACATATATCACAAATAACAGAGGCCCCAGCACTGATCCTTGTGGAACACCAGTGGTCACAGACTTCCAGTCAGAAAAGCACGCCTTCAAAACTACGCTCTATTGCCAATAACCAAGCCAATTTTGTATCTAATTTGCCAATTTACCATGAATGCCATGTGGCCTAATCTTCTGAACCAGCTTATCATGCCCTACCCACATCAATCATCTTCAACACTTCCTCAAAAAACTCAAACAAGCTTGTCAGACAAGACCTCCCCCACATAAAGCCATGCTGCCTCGCCCTAATAAGGTCTTTCTTTTCCAAATGCTAATAAATCCTGTCCCTAAGAATCTTCTCCAACAATTTCCCTACCACTAGAATAATGCTCACTGGCCACATCCAACACCTCCTCCTTCTCAATATCAACATACCCCTCCCCAATCTTACCATCATCCATATCTTTCTCCTCAGTGAATACCGACGCAAAGTGTTCATTAAGGACCTCATCCACTTCCTCCGGCTCCATGCATAAATCTCCTCCTTTGTTCTTGAGTGAACCTATCCTTTCCCTAGTTACCCTTTTGCTCCTAATATACAAATACAATGCCTTGAGATTCTCCTTAATCCTACTTGCCAAGGACATTTCATGGCCCTTTCTCGCCCTCCTAATTTTTTAAGTTCTTTCCTGCTTCCTTTATATTACTCAAGGGCCTTGTATGATTTCAGTTTCTTAAACCTTACATATACTTCCTCTTACTTTTTGACTAAACTTTCAATGACTCGTCATCCAGGATTGCTGAATCTTGCCATTTTTATCCTTCATTCTCATTGGAATTTGTGGATCCTGAGCTTCAATCAACTGGCCTTTAAAAGATTCCCACATATTAGATGTGGATTTACCCTCAAATTGCTGTCCCCAGTCTCCTTTAAGATATTTTGATCTCATTAAAACGCACTTAGAAAAGAAAATACTTATTTCTCTCTGGCAAGTTTTGTTCAAGGATTGAACTGGAAATTCTTGTCTTCTTCAAATATGCTATTCAGCAGAAAATAAAGAAACATTTAGCATAGAGTTCGTGGAAGCCCCACTGTGATGGGCATATGGCAAACTGCTTTTCTCTTTTTTCTATTCACTCGTGGGATATGGGCATTGCTGGATGGGCCAGCATTTATTGCCCATCCCTGGTTGCCATTAAGAAGGTGGCGGTGAACTGTCTTTTTGAACTGCTACAGCTTATTTGGTGTGAGCGGACCCACAGTACTGTTAGGGAGGGAGTTCCAGGAATATGACCCCGTGACAGTGAAGTAACAGTGGTATATTTCCAAGTCAGGACGGTGAGAGGCTTAAAGAGGAACTGACAGCTGGTGGTGTTCCCTTGTACCTGCAGCCTTTGTTCTTCTGGATGATAGTGGTCCAGGGTTTGGAAGGTATCATTTAATGAGCTTTAGTGAATTTCTGCAGTGCATCTTGTAGACAGAACACACTGCTACTATGGAGCATTGACTGAGCGCTGTGGATGTGCTGGATATCAAGCGGGCTGCTTTGTCCTGGAAGCTGTCAGGCTTCTTGAGTGTTGTTAGGGCTACACTCATCTAGTCAAGTGGGGAGTATTCTTGATCTTGGAATATTTTACCATGTTAAAGGTTCAATGTAAATGATAGCTGATGTGTGATTTTGATCGATCATGTAAAAAATTGTTGCAACAGGTATGAAATGCTCAGAGGCATATTCTACCATTTCCATTCAATAACCAACTTACCTACTCCAACAGTTGTATTTTGCTTTTATTCTGACCAAAATTACAATTACATAAGTGACTGATAGCATTAAGTAGCCAATTTGGTAGTTGTGAATTATATCTGACATTTAGCTGTATCCAATTATGATTTTCTACCTCTTTTGCGTTTGCTGCCCTTTCAGTCATTCCCATGCAGTTCTTTAATGTCTTCAATTCTGAACAGTAATCACTGAATAGTTCTGTAGTCACAGAAATGAACAGCTCCTCATTTACTTTAGCTGTCAGTCTGGCAACCAAATGTTGAGTATTGTGCAGTGCACCATTGACAATGAAAGGTCTTCACTGTCCGCAAGCAAACTTTAGCATGAGGTAGTTGTGAAACACAATCTAAACTTGCTATTGCAAACGTGGCTCTGATAGAATCCATTACACCCCCACCCCTCACCTCTCTCTCTTTCTGTTCATTTGGTATATTTGGTTTCCACTAAAGCCACGATAAAATGTCTCACTGTTACTTCTCCTTGCACTTCTGTTGGTCATTAAGTTCAGATTGTCCAACTCTTCCCCCAAACTTGATTAATTTAGACAAAATAATATTCAGAAAACAAGAAGAGAATGTTACCTAATGTTTAAGAACGACTGAAAATGCTAGAAATATATAGCATCTGCTACAGAAACACAGTTGCAACTAAAGTATAGAAATTTTTGAGGGTTGATCATGGGTCACACTGAAATGTTCAACATTTTCTGTTCTTATTTCAAGGTTCCACCTTCCAAAGTTTTCTGTTCACCTCAGCATTAGCTAGACTTTCACCTCTTCGATCTTGTTCAGCCCAGTGGAGGAACAGCACTGACAGAAAATCCTGCGTGGATTTACAGGCAAAAATGAAATGTAAAAGATTTGTACCAGCTTTGGGTTCTTTGAAGTTAGAAAGAGCTTTTGAATCATGAAAATATATTGATCAAGGTTCATTATAGGAATAAAGCAGAATAACAAACTGTGATTAAAGTCTCTGCAAACACTGCAATTTGGCTGACGAGAAGAGAAACTGCAGATATTCACTGTTTAAATTGATTTAAACCTGGGAGCAAGAGCAACCGAATAAAAGATGTGTGACATCCAATAAAAATTCATATAAAGAATAAACACAATCTTTATATGACTACAAAAATACCAGCCAAGCTCCCTGAGGTGTCAGTGAATAACTGTGCCACGTACTGTGATATTGGACAATAAGATGGAGAAATTCCAAGTTGAATCCCTTGCCTGCCCTGTGTTACAAAAGGGCTATACCAAGCCCAATAGGCCAGTAATTTATGACAGAAATAAAATAGCATGCACAATCCATTCAATTTGTGAAGTGAATGCAAGTCTGGAAACATAGCTTGAGACTGTGGAGAATAAATGGAAATTGAATTTATTTAAAGATAGCAGTTTATTGCTTTTGCTCATTTTAATCTTCTATATCTTTTAATAATCAGGGCCTAGAAATCTGATTGTACTTGTAAAGTGGCTCACATGTGCTAGTATTAAAGCAGCACCCAATATTCACTCTGGCTGCTCATTAAAATCCTATATATGTACAGCCAGTATTAACCTATGATGATCTGTAGCTTCAAGCCTGTGGTACATGATGTTGAGTGCTTCAGATGCCTTTGACAGACAAACAGTACCTCTTAATAAGAAGATACAGTAATAGTGAAAAATTAAGGAAGCATTCATTGACAGAAAAATAACTTCAACAAGCACTGAGGAACATGTAGGTTCTCTGACACTGTCTTGGAGGTCATAATTTTCAGCAAAAAGTTTTCCATCTTTCCACTTTCCAAGAATTCATCAGATTTGAATGGAGTGGATGTGGCTCGGAAATGGGGACATGGAAGAAACTACTTGAGAGAGCAGGAGGGAGGGAAGGAGAAAATAAAAGGTGAGAGAGTGAGAGATCTTCTGTCATGCTTTTCATTAGAAGCAGGTAATAATTGGAAAACCTAGGTGCTTCTGTTCAAGTTGCATTGGAAACTGAATCCAGCATTAGACAGCCACTTGTGATCAAACAGCACATTTGATTGCTTTTATTATTATTATTCAACATGACACTTTTTTTTAATCCTGTGTGAGGGAAATGGCCTCATGTGCTACCTTTACCTTTACCATCGATCTTCATATACTTACTGGGTTCTGCTGTGTAACATGGAGACCCACAGCCAGCTTCCTCCCTGGAGCAGACAGATTTCATTTGGCCTACATTTTGCTGCTGTCAGACCCTGCAGATTCCACCACTTACACATAGGAACACCAGATAATTTTGGGGAGAGGTTGATTTTGATTTCTGCAGAACTGAGGTAACTCAACCCAATGATTGCAGATTTACAAAGAGTCCCTCCCAGTAACATAGCAGCTTTGTGTAAGTGATCAAACTACCCCCTTTTAGGAAGACTGCTATTGATGCTTCATTAAAAACTGTTACCTGCTCAGCAGGAAATTTGTGCTCTCTGTCCAGCTGCGCAGCAACTGGAGTGAGTTCCTTTTCCGCAAAACCTCTGCAGGTATCCCGCAACAACTTATGAGTTTCTGGAAGCTCCACCATCTGATAGACTGTGTACAGTCGGCGTAAACATCCTGACCTCACGGCTGCAGGAATTGGAAATACAGAATAGCTGATCAGAAACAGTAGCCGCTACTGGTATACTATCACTTGGTAAAATCTGAAAATGCTTTATCAATTCTAACAGCATTGCCCTTCTTCAGGAATCATGGTAAAGGTCAAGCACTGTATTGTTTTCAAAAGTAGAAAACAACCAAATGCTGAATGCCAAAATTCATCAATTAAAGGCCAGTCATCACTGGTAATGTGATAACAATCATTTCTTTTCGTCGTACGTAAAGAGCCAATTACACTGGTTCTGGCATGAAACAGTTTGACAGGAGGAGAAACACAGCTTGCATTCTATGCTACTGAGCTGTCAATCACAGTTAGTCAGGCAGCAATCATCCTCCTCTGCCCTAACCCTTCTCCAGATGGGACGTTTTCAATCCTAAATCAGGTGATTAAAGCACCCAGTTGTGTCAAAAGCAATCAACATATAAGCTTCTTGGATCCTATGATTAGATTAACTTGGCCATGAGATGTTAGGCGCTGTAACAACTATTGTAGTGTTCAGGGGATCCTTTTATTTGCCAAAAATCATCCATAATACTGTCTCTCATTCTCTGAATCAGAAAATTTGTGTTCAAACACCATTATATACTGAAGTATATAATCTACCATTTCAGGGCAGTTCTAAGGATGTTAGTGATTCTACTATCTTTAACCACTGGCAAGGTAATCTTACTTAGTCATACTTATTGCCAGCTTCAAACCTCAGCAAAGAAAACTCTCAGATTGTTTATGGAACTTAGCCAGTTTTATCAGCTATAGACCAGGCTCTAAAGTCACATACCCCAGCCAGGGGAAACAGCTTTTCTGCATTCACTGTGTCTGGCCCTTTATATCTCCTCTCATTCTTTGAAACTCAGAATACAGGCTCAGTATCCTCAATCTCTCACCATAGGACAGTCCCATCATTCCAGGAATCAGTCTGGTGAACATCACTGCAAAGATTCACCACTTTCTAATTGCATTATTTTTATCATCTCAGTCCTAAGTAATTGACCCTTACGTTGAGACTATGCTATTTTGTTCAAGATTTAACATCCGGCGGAAACAACACAAATGTCTATCCTGTCAAGCCCACTCAGAATTTTATATATATCATTAAGATCCCTTCTCATTCTGCTAATTTCCAATGAAGACAGACACAACGAGCACAACATTTGTTAATAAGAAAAATTCCCCATCCCAGGAAAAGGCCTAGTAAACTTTCACTGAACTCCATCCAATTAAAATATGTCCCTTTTAAGTAAAGGAATCAACACTGTGCACAATACTCCAGGTGCAGTCTCACCATTGCCTTGTAGAGACATACCATGACTTCCTTACTTGTAAAATCCATCCCTCTTGCAACTTAGGCCAACATTTCCTTTGCGGTCCTAAGTATTTGCACCTGCGTGCTGACTTTTTTTTGTGATTCACATACAATGATATCCAGGTGCCTCTGTACTACAGCATTCTGCAATCTCTCCTTATTTAACATTTTGCTTTTCTGTTCTTCCTACCAAAGTGGACGACCTCAGATTTGCTCTCATATACTCCACGTACCAAACTTTTGCCCACTAACCTAACCTATGTCTCTTTGAAGACTTTTTGTGTTCTCGACACAACTTGCTTTCTTACTTATCTCTTCGTCATCGGCAAATTTGCCCATAGTGCAGTCAGTCCCTTCATCCGACTTATTAATGTAGATTATAAATAACTGAAGCTCCAGCATTGATTACTGTGGCACTCCATTAGTTACAGATTACCATCCTGAAAGTAACTCAGTTATCCTAAAATCTGTTTCCAATTAGTTAGCCAGTCCTAAATCCATTTTATTGTGCAGTAACGTTTTATATGACAACTTATCAAATGCATTTTAGAAATCCATTTATTAGTTCCCCCTTTATCAACCCTGCTTATTATACCCCCAGAGAACTGCCAACTAGAAATACCTTGTTAATTCCTACTCTCTAAGGTTTCTGTCTGTTAACCATTCCTCCATCCAT